TCTACGGACACATACATATTTGCAAATGCATATAGATAGAACATTTAAGTGTAGAAAAATGTTAAAAATTGGTAAATCTGAGTGCGTATGTAAACGTTCATTGTACTAATTTCCTAACTTTATTGAAGGTTTGAAATTCAAAATATGAATTTGGGCTGGGAGATGCAACACTGGGCCTAAACCCTCCCTCTTCCAGGAAGCCTGCACTGATTAAACAGGACAGAGAGAATATGCTTTTCCTCTGTTGAACACACCTCCACACAGGTAGCTTTTTACTTTAAGCAAACACCCTAGCCCTGGCTTGCAACAGAAGTTCTGCATGCTAAATAGGAAAAATAATGCTTGGTTCTCAGTTTATTGGAAATATAATCCTGGGTGCCCCGCTGGCTCTCAGTATAATATGTCCTCTTGATCTCAGGGTCATGAGTTCCAGGCCTGCATAGAGTTTACTTAAAATAAAATTAAAAATAAAACCCAGTAGGGGTGCCTGGTTTAAGCACCCAACTCTTGGTTTCCGCTCAGGTCATGATCTCAGAGTTGATCTCAGGGTTTTGAGACAGAACCCCCGTAGAGGGACACCTGGGTATCTCAGTGGGTTGAGCCTCTGCCTTCGGCTTGGGTCATGATCCCAGGGTCCTGGGATCAAGCCCTGAGTCCCCCCCACTCTCTGCCTGCCTCTCTGCCTGCTTGTGATCTCTGTCAAATAAATAAATAAAATCTTAAAAAAAACAATAACTCCTGTAGGGCTCAGCAGGGAGTTGGCTTCCCCTCTCCCTCTGCCCCCCTCCAACTCTAAAATCAATCAATCAATCTTTTTTTTTTTTTAAGATTTTATTTATTTATTTGACAGAGAGAGATCACAAGTAGACAGAGAGGCAGGCAGAGAGAGAGAGAGAGGGAAGCAGGCTCCCCGCCGAGCAGAGAGCCCGATGCGGGACTCGATCCCAGGACCCTGAGATCATGACCTGAGCCAAAGGCAGCGGCCTAACCCACTGAGCCACCCAGGCACCCCTCAATCTTTTTTTTTTTTAAAGCCTTTATTTGACAGACAAGAAATCGCAAGTAGGCAAGAGAGGCAGGCAGGGTGCGGGGTGGGGGGGGGAGCAGGCTCCCCGCTGAGCAGAGAGCCTGATTCGGGGCTTGATCCCAGGACCCTGTAACTGTGACCCAAGCCGAAGGCAGAGGCCCAACCTACTGAGCCCGCCAGGCACCTCAATCTTTTTTTTTTTTTTAACAAAGATTTTTATTTATTTATTTGACAGACAGAGATCACAGTAGGCAGAGAGGCAGGCAGAGAGAGGGGGAAGCAGGCTCCCCGCCGAGCAGAGCCCAATGTAGGGCTTGATCCCAGGACCCTGATATCATGACCTGAACCGAAGGCAGAGGCTTAACCCACTGAGCCACCCAGGTGCTCCAAATCAATCAGTCTTTAAAACTAAATTCTATATTTATAAAATCCACCAAAGGAAGTGGAGACAAACATGACAAAGTGACTTGGCCCCTCTGGTCACACAGAGGCAGTGGCACGGCTGACATCACGACCCTTATCTCATCTACCATCTCTGTAATAATCTGTATTTTTGTCGGAAATGGAGAGTTGGGAGTGTCAGGCACTAGGGGGATGGGAACATCACAGAGCCTGGCTTCTCATTGCTTAGCTCAAGTGAACTCCATGGGTCTTATGTCCTAACTGTCTCATTTCCAGGCCAACAGCCCCCTTCCTATGGCCCATTCCCGTTCATTCCCACATTAAATCACACACCTCTCCGGGAGAACTCTAGGGCTTTATTACAAGTGGAGCTGACTGCAAGGGAGCCCCATTCTCCAGTCTCTCTTCTCCACTCGCTTCCTCTCAACACACCTCTCCAGGGCAGGTGACTAGGCCATCAAGGAAGAGGAGTCTAAGGAGAATGAAAAAGGGCAATGCTTCCTCTAAAGTCCTCTGAAACAACCAGAGTCCTTCTGGCTCCAGGTGAGAACCTTCGGGTGGAAGGGGTGAGAGATTCAGCTGTCATCCTCAAGGTCCTCCATGTCTACATCCTGGGGGCCTTTTGTCTTCTTTTGCCGCTTGGGCTGTGGTTCACTAGTCCTGGCTGGCTTGGCGGGGGCGTCCACTGAACAAAAGGAAAGAGGAAGCATTGAAGAACCCCAAGGAATCCAGGCTTTCCCCTTACCCCCCTCTGTGACCCGGCCTCACCTTCCATGGCTGCTTTCTCTTTCTGGGCCAGCCGGATCTGCTGGAGGAGCTTTCTGCGCTTCTTCCCAGAGAGAGTAATGTTGGCACGTGCACTGGACCTGAAAGGGTGGTAGAAGCGAGGATATCCAGGTTAACCTGAATCAGCATGAGTAGGTTCTGGGTATTGAAAAGGTCTTTGAGGGGCGCCTGGGTGGCTCAGTGGGTTGAAGCCTCTGCCTTTGGCTCAGGTCGTGGTCCCCGGGTCCTGGGATCGAGACCCGCATCGGGCTCTCTGCTCGGCGGGGAGCCTGTTTCCTCCTCTCTCTCTCTCTGCCTACCTCTCTGCCTACTTGTGATCTCTGTCTATCAAATAAACAAATAAAATCTTAAAAAAAAAAAAAGAAAGAAAAGGTCTTTGTTTTGGGTTTCTTTTTGGTTTTGTCTTTTTGAAAACGTCTTTGGATTCAAGTAAAAAGACTGAAAATCTGGGCTCTGAGGTAATGAGTTAAATCTCTCCAACACTTAGCCATTAACATTCTTAGTACTACTCCCATCCATATATAAAGTACTTACCATTAAATGTTAAAATTTGGTATATGGCAGAAACTTGTAAGGGAAAGCTATTTTTCTCCTCTATTTTCAATATTTTTATGTTTTAAGTGGGCTCCACAATCAACATGGGGCTTGAACTCACAACCCTGAAATCAACACTTGCATGCTTGGGTCATCTGGGTGGCTCAGTCACTCAAGTGTCTTGCCTTCTGCTCAGATCATGATCTTTTTTTTTTTTTTCTTTTGATTTATTTATTTGACACAGAGAGAGAGAGAGAGAGAGCACGCACAAGCCAGGGGAGCAGCCGGCAGAGGGAGCGGGGAGCCAGATGTGGGACCCCATCTCCGGACCCTGGGATCATGACTTGAGCCAAAGGCAGACGCTTAACTGACAGAGCCACTCAGCCTCCCCAGTAAATAAAATCTTGAAAAAAAAAAAAAAAAAAAAAAAGTCGCATGCACTATTAACTGAGACAGCCAGGTACTCCTATTTTCAACACTTCTGACACCAGAAAGGTGTGGGGCTTGTCCCACATCAAGGCATTCTCAAATTCTGCAGACACCGACTGAGAATCCTGCAAATTTGACTCAGTTCTGACACCTCTACCTGGAGATAGCATCAGATCCCACAGGCTGAGGGCTCAGTCTCAAAAGACTGCCCCCCACTTCAGATGGTGTACTTCTGAATGACCAGCTATAAATCAAGGTTCTCATGATCCCCTTCTCAGACTCAATAATTTGCTAAACAGCTCACAGAACTCAGGAAACATTTACTTGCATTTACTTATTTACGGTAAAAGAATGAGATTCAGGAACAGCCAAATGGAGGAGACGCACAGGGTAAGGTCCGGGCATTTCCATACTCTCCCCACTTTCCCTGAACCTCCACCCATTCACTAACCAGGAAGCTCGTCAAATCTCTATTATTCAAGAGTTTTTACAGAACTTAATCTTCCCAGGTGGGTGGAGCTTAAATTCCCAACCTCCTCAACACCTGGTCTTTCTGAAGACCAGCCCCACCCTAAGTTACATTAGCATAAACCAAGGTGTGCTCAAAGGGGGGTCCTGGGGCCATGATAGACACTCCTATCACTCAGGAAATTCTAAGGCTTTTAGAAGCTCTGTGCCTGGAATCAGACCAAGTATTTCTTATTATACCACAAAACTGTATTTACGATGAAAAAATCAGTGGAAAAAAGGGATGGGAAATCTTCCCCAAGGCTGGGAGGCGGGGCAGGGGCTTGAAAAGTACAAAATCCTACAGGTACTTTTGTGAGAATTGAGTACATGCACACTTACGTGTTTTTTTTTTTTTTTTTTTTTTTTTTTTTAAAGATCTTGTTTATTTGTCAGAGAGCGAGCACAAGCAGGGGGAGCAGCAGGCAGAGGGAGAAGCAGGCTCCAGCTGAGCGAGGGGCCCGATGCAGGACTCAATCCCAGGACCCTAAGCTCATGACTTGAGCTGAAGGCAGACACTTGACAGACTGAGCCACCCAGGCGTCCCGTGTGTGCTTTAAATTTATTTATAAAAAATCCATGTGGACGTACAATGTTACCTGGGGAGGTGGGTGAGTGGGCAGTTCTTACATATTTGGTGGGGTCCAAGACCCAGAGAGGCTGTGGGCTACCGGTCCCGTGACGGGCCAGCGGAGTGGAGGCACAAACGCTGCCTATGTAAACGCCAGTGCACACGCAAAGCAGAGCGGATATTTGCGGGGGAGCTCGGCAGGACGGGGAAAGGGGGCAGGACGGGATAAGAGGACTCGGTCGGGAGCAAAGCGAAGAGAGTCTGGCACTCACGCCCGCTTCTTCAGGTGGTGCCGCGTGATCAGCCCTTCGTCTATCACAGCCCCGACCACCCGGCGCTTCAGTCTCCGCTCCCGGTTCAACACTCGCCGTCGCTTGAACAGCTTCTTCTTCAGCTCCTAAGGGGGAGGAAGATGCTAATCAGACGGAAGTCGCGACCCGGGACCCCGCACCCTGTGACTCCAGCCCACAGGGCCCATCTCTAGAGAGATGAGAGGCCTCCAGGATGCTTGAGGAAACAAAGTCGGGGCTCCCACACAATCACCGTTCGGGGCCGGTTGATCTTTCCGCCAGGAGCCCCCATGACTGCGCAGCGAACCTGACTTCCAAACCGAGTCGCGGCTCTGCGTAGCGTCAGCGTCGGTCCCGCCCCTCAGCCTCCGCGAGCCAATAGCAGCTCGGGGGCGGGTCCTGAGCCTATATAAAGGTGGTCGGCAGTGATACCGGTCTTTCGCGGGGCGGGGACGAAAGAGGTTAGTGTCTGGGTTGCGGAGCTGGGTGCCAGGGTGGGGGTTCTGGGCGAGGCCTGCGCACCCTCCTTTTCTTGGCGGGGGTCGGGTGTGTGGTCCCGGTCCCCGTAATGTACGGAGGCAGAGGGAAAGGGCTCTGGCCCACTCGGCGTCATGTCTTCGGTGCCCGCGGCATCCAGTCCGCCGGTTCTATCCTCAAGCGCCGGGACACGGCCTCCGAGAAGCGTGGCGGAACGGAGGTTCTGCAGGCTCCTCCCTCGTGCGCTCACGCCTTCTCCTTTGATTTCAGGTCTTTGGAACCGCCCCTGGAGCCGGAGCTGTCGTGTCCCCTCCTCTTTAACTGCCCGTTGCAAACAATAAAAGACGATCGTACACTAATAGGTGTGTGTCCGCGTTCTTTTTTTTGAGGTGGTTGTTAGGCGGTACGCGTTATCCCACAAAGCGGAATTTGCAGCTTTTCTCTTGGACCTCAGGCTCCTGCGGGCGTGTGGGCGGCATTTCGCTGAAGGCTCTCCGGCCGACCTTGCGGGGATCTCCAGATGGCCGCGCTGCGCCGAACCCTCCACGTGGCGACACTGGCGGCTGGGGCGCGCCGTGCTTTGGCGGGTAGGGAAGGTGGATAGTGGGAGGGAGGGTTCTTAGTGACCTGGGAGTCTAGACCCTGAAACTGATTCTTCAAACCCCAGGGTACACTGCACCGTTTCTGCATCGTATTGATGGAACTTGGCCGGTGGGTGACACATGTGCTCCACTCGTGTCCACAGGCTCCCTGGCTGGTAGCTGCCTGGCCGACCGTCGCCTCTGGGATAAGCTCCATGCCGATACCCGAAAAGGCCACGTCCCCACGTTCGACTGGTTCTTTGGGTATGAGGAAACCCAGGGGTTGCTACTGCCGCTCCTGCAGGAGACAGCGGCTGCCTGCCCACTGCGGGTGTTGGACGTGGGCTGTGGGACCTCCAGTCTGTGTACAGGCCTCTACACCCAGTGCCCACATCCCGTGGATGTGCTGGGGGTGGACTTCTCTCCTGTGGCTATTGCCCACATGAAACGTCTCCTGGAAGGTGGCGAAGGCCAAACACCCCTGTGTCCTGGGCATCCTGCCTCCAGACTCCACTTTATGCAGGCTGATGCCCAGAACCTGGAGCCAATGGCTTCCTCAGGCTCCTTCCAGCTAGTGCTGGATAAGGGCACCTGGGATGCTGTTGCCCGTGGTGGTCCTCAGGGAGCTTACCAGCTTCTGTCAGAGTGCCTCAGGGTCCTAAGCCCCCAGGGGACCCTGATTCAGTTCTCAGACGAGGACCCTGATGTGCGGCTTCCCTACCTGGAGCAAGGGTCCCCAGGCTGGAGTGTGACTGTGCAGGAGCTAGGCCCTTTTGGGGGCATTACTTACTTTGCTTACTTGGTTCAAGGCTCTCAAAGCCTTCAGTCCTGACCCAACATTTTTCTGTTGGGTGAAGAAGGCGATGGACAGCTTTTCAACTTTGTAAGATGGCTGGGAAGCGAGGATTTGAGGCCTGGCCTCCACATTTACTAGTTGGGTACACAGTATGGAATGTTTCTGTCCCCTGGTTCGCGAACTGACAGCAGGGTAGGAATAATAACCCGGAGTTAGGGGATTACAGATGATGATGGGTGAAATATGGAGCATTTAGCAATGGCAGGCACAAGAGGGGTGCTAAATAGAGAAGGTACAGTGATTCATTCCCCAGCCCCAATAAACTGGAACTCCTAAAAACAGGAGTTTTGTGGGGTATTTGTGGGTTATTTTGAGGACTTTGGGTTTTGTTTGCTTGTTTTTAGATTTATTTAGAGAGAGAGGGAGAATCCCAAGCCATCTCCATGGCCAGTGCAGAACCCAAATCACAGCTCCATCTTAAAACCCTGAGATCATGACGTGAACTGAAACCGAGTCGGATGCTTAACCGACTGAGCCACCTGGGTGCCCCCATTAGAGGAGTTTTTTAATCGAGGCGTTCTTAATCCAAATCCCAGTACAAACTGACTTGTGTGACCCAGTGGCCTCACCTATAGAAGGGGGAAGACTGAAAGAACCCACAGAATGGTCTCAACAAATCACCGAAATGTTGAGGGAGACCGAAGTAGACTTACCCTCAAAGCTTCTGGGAGGCAGGAGATGTGAATATTCCATAAAACAGCTTTGACAAACATGGGAGCCTGCTGCTGGCTTCCACAGAGGACAGGGGCTGGAGGCTTCATGATAGTCTGTGTTGCCAGGAATCCAAGAGACCTCTTGTTCTCCATATTCCTGCCCCCAGCCAAGTTCTGGGTTAAAGGTTCTTAAGGGAGATCGGGGGTCCAATGGGCTCCAAGTCCAGCCTGGGGGAAAGAGCAGTTGGAAGAGCCCATTAAGGGTGAAAAATACTTCTGATCTATTGCTGACTTTTTAAAAAATGCTATTTATTTACTTAGTTTTAAGATTTTATTTAATTATGACAGATAGCAAGAGAGGGTGAGCTGAAGGCAGATGCTTAACGACTGAGCCACCCAGGCAGCCCTATTACTGACTTTGAAATATGAAACGGGTGTCTGGGTGGCTCAGTGGGTTGGGCCTCTGCCTTTGGCTTGGGTCATGATCTCAGGGTTCTGGGGTTGAGCCCCACATTCAGGCTCTATGCTCGGTGGGGGGGGCCTGCTTCCCCCTCTCTGCCTGCCTCTGCCTGCTTGTGATCTCTCTCTGTCAAATAAATAAATAAAATCTTAAAAAAAAAAAGATGAAACAAATTTGTGTGTTTTTTATTATTAGAAAAAGTAATATAGCAACTATAATTAAGAGGCTAATTTCAGAGCAGCCTGGGTGGCTCAATCCGTTAATCGGGTGGCTCAGGTCATGATCACAGGGTCCTGGGATGGAGCCCCCCCCGCACTGGGCTCTCTGCTCAGCAGGGAGCCTCCCTCTGCCCCCCCCACCCCTCCCCACTCCCCACCTCTGCCTCCCTCTCTGCCTACTTGTGATCTCTGTCAAATAAATAAATAAAATCTTAAAAAAAAAAAAAAGGATAAGGCATCCAAAATGTAACTTATCTCTGGGTAGATGATTTAGGATAAATTTATTTTTTTTCCCCCCACAACAAACAATGTGAACTTTTTTTAAAAGATTTTATTTGGGGGCACCTGGGTGGTTCAGCGGGTTAAGATTTTACTTATTTGACACGGGGAGGGGGGCCAAGGGGGAGAGTAAGCACAAGCAGGCGGAGCAGCAGACAGGGGAGAAGCGGGCTCCCTGCTGAGCAAGGAGCCTGGTGCAGGACTGGATCCCAGTACCCTGAGATCATGAGCTGAAGGCAGACACTTAACTGACTGAGCCACCCAGGCGCCCCAAACTGTGAATATTTTAAGCAATTAAAAATAATTAAAAGTCATCACCCATCTGACATCAGAACTTCCCTCTAAAGTTCAACTTTGCCAGACACCTTGAATTTCTCTCCGCTCTACTCCTTTTCTGGTCCATTTCCTAAGCACCTACTGTTTGCCTGTACGGGGACACAAGTAAGTTTTCCATCTCAGTCCTGCCCAGAACATCGTCACAATGGCTGCACTGGAGCAGCTGCCTCCCTCACCTGGCTCTTCACTTTGGTCCTGGAAGAAGACCTCGGCCTCCTCTTCCTCATCGGTGAGCAGCAACAGCTCGTCATGTGGCCAGCCAAGCTCCCCGCTGTCTTCACTCACCTCAGACGCTTCCACCACGATGGAGGGCAGGGGGGTCTTTTGAGAGACAGCCTGAATCGGGATAGCAGGGCGCTTGGACCAAGTGGGAGGATGAGCCAGCAGCCGGAGCACAGGGTGGGGAAGTACTGACCTGAGCATCCTGGTGACCTTCAACCCTGACAATTTCTCCTCTGTCCATCTGGAGAGGGTTCATCAGCCGAGGACTTTCTGGGTGCCGGGAGGAGCCTGGGCGATCTCTAGGCCAAGGCTCATCCTCACTGCTCCCTGGCACAAGGGCCATGGGTGCAAATCCTTGGAGCATGTAGTGGTTGAACTCAAAGTGGAGTACCCCTGCTCAGTACACTCTAGAGACTGCTCCTTTAATCTTTGGAGCCTGGCCCCTTAATCACTTCTGAGAAGAGAATGAAAAGCTAGGAGATTATGGGCCTTCCAGGGGAGGGGAAAATCCCAAGAGGTGGAGGAATACCTCCTCCCTGGAGGAATATGGGAATATGTCTCCTCACTCCCTGGGTGACAACTGGGAAAGGCAGGAGGGGTAGGGGTCAACAAGGGCATCTGAATGAAAGCCCTGTGAGTGATCTTTGCCAACAAACTTGAAATTTCTTGATTCCTTTGGTTCCTGGGTCTCCTGATTTGACATGTTTCTTTATGTCTTATTTAACAAATATTTATATGGTGTTAACAATTTGACAGGAACAGTGTTAAATGCCTTACATATAATCTCATTTAATTATCCTAAAACTATGAGATAGATTCTATCATTAACCCTATTTTCTGATGCAGAAAACGGGACAAAGAACTTGAATGACTTGCCCAGAGTTACCCACCTAAAAGGTGCTTTCTTTTCCAAACTAGAACTCAGTATGTTACTCCAAATTCAGAGGTTTCACTGGCAGGGGGTGACGGGGGTGGGTGCAAGGGTATACCATGATGAGAAAAACAGCACATTTACTCTCTTTTTTTTTTTTTTAGTTTGTTTTTTTTTTTAAAGATTTTATTTATTTATTTGACAGACAGAGATCACAAGTAGGCAGAGAGGCAGGCAGAGAGAGAGGAGGAAGCAGGCTCCTGCCGAGCAGAGAGCCGGATGTGGGGCTCGATCCAAGGACCCTGAGATCATGACCTGAGCCAAAGGCAGAGGCTTTAACCCACTGAGCCACCCAGGTGCCCCACATTTACTCTTTTTTATAAAAGATTTTATTTACTTATTTGAGAGATAGAGCACGAGCAGTGGGGAGGGGCAGAGGGAGAGGGAGAAGCTGACCCCAGTTGAGCCGGGAGTCCCATGTGGGGCTCCATCCCAGAAGCCTGAGATCATGACCTGAGCCAAAGGCAGATGCTTAACTGACTGAACCACCCAGGCGCTTCCAACAAAATTACTTTTAACAAGTTTAACAGGGGCGCTTGGCTGGCTCCAGCGGTGGAGCCTGCCACTCATGATCTCCGGGTGGTGAGTTCGAGCCCCACAATGGGTGTGAACGTTACTTAAAAATAAAATTAAAAAGTATTTTTTCCCACCCAGTACACTTGACTTTGGGTTTTTGTTCATAAATTGAGGGAATTTAGAGGGGGTGAGTAGATTGATATGTGTAAGCATCTGGCTGTCCAGTACCTGCTGTTCTGAAAACGCACAAATCATTGTAGGAAACTACAGAGCACAGAATCGACCTGGAAATTCCAGAACTAGGCAACTGCAAACCCCACAGCAACCAGGCCGACAATCCCGTTTTGAATTTCCTGACAGTGAGCCCAGAGCTTGACCCTCGATGCCAACACTTCGGGACACGCTCAACATCCCCAGCCCTTTCAGACCCAAGCGCTTTGGGCCGACCAGGCCCTCTCTAGCCCGGCTCCTTCTCTATGGTCTCCGCTGCGGGCCGCTCTAGCCTGCGCGGGAGGCGGTGAGACGCCGTGGACGGCTTCCCAGGCGGCGAAAGCTACAGAGGGCCTCTGCGCTGGCCGCCCGGTCGGCCATGGAGGCTTTGCGCAAAGCGCTGATCGTGGGTGCCCTTCTGGGCGCGGGGGCTGGCGTTGGCTCCGCGCTCTTTGTCCTCGTGACCCCGGGAGAGGAGCAGAAGCAGGCGATGCTGAAGGTGGGAGTAACTGGGGGGTGCGAGATGGGGCGGGCGGGCGGAGAGCCCCGGGCTGGGGGCTCAGGACGGCGAACCTTCCTACCCACAGGAGATACCCGAGCAGGACCCGCGGCGCAGGGACGAGGCGACCAGAACCAAAGAGTTAGTGCTGGCCACTCTGCAGGAGGCAGCGACCACGCAGGAGAACGTGGCCTGGAGGAAGAACTGGATGGTCGGCGGCGACGGGAGGTCAGCGTGAGCCCGGACTTCCCTCGTGGGCGCTGGCACCTTCCTCCCGCGGAGTCCGGCGCGGCCTTTCTCCCCCGTAGTCCCGGTAGGGAGTCCGGACCCGGGATGCCGCGCGCCCAGGCCTCCTTGAGGCCCCGGGAGCGGCTGCGGGGTGAGCACGTCCCGCCTCCACCCGCAGGCGCTGCACTGATAGCACTTTCCCGTCCTGCGTCGCAGGCCAGGGCGTGGGATGTGGCCAACTGAAGGAACCAATAAATCACGTTCCTCTGTCCGGTCAGTAAGCCCTGCGGTCTGTGTCTAGAGTGTTCTGGGGATCCGTGTAGGGGACGCGGATGACTGTGGGTCCCACCGGCCCTGCAACGACCACGTTTTCCAAACACAAGCCAGGTCATGTGGTCTGAGTGGCCATTCGGTGATAACCAGGAGACATTCTCGAAATCAGGACTATCCTGGAAAATCCTGTAGCAGTAGATGCCCATGGAGGACACCTTGGGTGAAGTTGGAGAGGGGCTGTTGGTATTAGCATGTGCGGTGATGCTTTCTGGGGCTGCCGAACCGTTGGAGGCCAATTTAAATTGCCGAGTGAAAGGAGCGTGCTTTGAGTCAGATCTTGATTAAAGTCCTGCCTATTACAAAACCTTTCTGAGCCTCAGTGCTGTTTCATAAAAGGTGGTAAGTATCTTGAAGGTTGTTGTAAAAAGATTAACTTGGAAATGTAAAGTGCATTTCTTGGCACAGAGCATCACTTCAATAAAGGTAGGGGAGGGTTTCTCTTTCCAAAGATTTCAAGTTAGTTCAGTCTCTGAATCCAGTCATGGCTCTCTTGCAGATGCCACTGAAGTAAGGAAATAAAGCTGGCATTTGGGTCACACCCCACATCCAAGTCAACAGATTCACTCCCTGTTGTCTGTGGGTTTGTTTTGTTTTGTTTTGTTTTTAAGATTTATTTGAGGGACGCCTGGGGGCTCCGTTAAGCGTCTGCCTGCAGCTCAGGTCAAAATCCAGGGGTCCTGGGATTGAGTCCCGCATCCTTCTCCCTCTGCCTGCTGCTCCCCCTGCTTGTGCTCTGACAAATAAATAAAATCTTTAAAAAAAAAAAAAAAAAATTTATTTGAAAAACCCTGGTGGGGAGGGTGAGAGGGAGTCATAAGCAGACTCTCTGCTCAGTGCAGGTGGTGGGAAGTGGGGGGACTCAATCTCACAACCCCGAGATCATGACCTGAGCCAAAGCTAAGAGACCCTTAACCAGCTGAGCCACCCAGGTACACCTGTTGTCTATCTTACATCCTGTGGTTCCAAGCAAGATTTCAATTGAAGGAAAAAAAAAAAAGAAAAAAGGCCAGAACAGTAAGTACAGCTTGCCAACACTCAGGTCCAAACCCAGATGGCAGCACCGGGGCTGTTTCAGCGGGTGGATGGTGAACCCCTAAGCCAAACGCATTTGTTATGTGTGATCTTCAGTTTAATTGTGGCCTCTTTCTGAGCCTGGGAATGAGAGGGGAAAGGTTAGCAGCTCTTTGAGGGAGCATTAGGGTGAGGGGATCAGCAACACTGAGGGGCTAGGAGGCGGGAGCCTGGAGGTTGAGCGCCTGAGCCCTAGAGTCGGGCTTCCCCAGGTGTGCCCAGGTTCTGCTGTTGGTTACCTGTGTTGCTTTCAGCAAGCCACGTGCTTTGGTGTCCCAGTCTCTAAAAGGGGATACTTGTACCTATTTCCAGGTAACTGCCTTTTTATCTCAGTTAATACAGCAGTTAAAACTGTGTGGTGCATATTAAGTACTCAGTGCTTTTTAGTGAGGAGGAAATGCACTTGCAAAGGTCACTGCATTGCTCCTCTGGCCATTTGTGAATGGCTACATTAAAAAAAAAAATTACCCTTTTAGGGGAGCCTGGATGGGTTAGTCCATTAAGCCTCTGCCTTCAGCTCAGGTCATGATCCCAGGGTCCTAGGATCGAGCCTGTTTCTGCCCTCGCCCTTGCTCACGTTCTGTCTTAAATAAATAAAAATCTTTTTTTTTTTTTAAATTACCCTTTTAGTAGCTAATAGTTACTGGAAATTTATTAGGTGCCAGGCAGTGTGCTAAGGCAGCCTCCTATCACCATTATGTAACACCCACAATAATCTGAATTAACAGGTACTATTGTCCTTATTTTACTAAAGAGGTAACTAGGCTGCTTCAAGAAGTCAAGGCAGGGGCAGGTGGACAGTGCCAAAAGAAAAAAAAAAAGGCATAGGAATAAGGATTTCAGGTCTATGCACTGCTTTTTACCTATAGGAGCAAAGGGCGCTATCCATCGTACTCTCATAACCCCAACAATTCTCCCCTCTCAACTTCCCAAGCAAATAAAAAGACCCAGATATTGTTACCAAGTTTGTTAGAAGCTTTAGTTGAGGGGTACCTGGGTGGCTCAGTGGGTTAAGTGTCTGCCTTCAGGGGCACCTGGGTGGCTCAGTGGATTAAAGCCTCTGCCTTTGGCTCAGGTCATGATCCCAGGGTCCTGGGATCCAGCCCCACATCGGGCTCTCTGCTCAACAGGGAGCCTGCTTCCCCGTCTCTCTCTCTGCCTGCCCCTTTGCCTACTTGTGATCTCTGTCTGTCAAATAAATAAAATCTTTAAATGTCTGCCTTCAACTCAGGTTGTGATCTCAGGGTCCTGGGATGGAGCCCCTCATGGAGTTCCCTGCTTGTGGGGAGCCTGCCTCCCTCTGCCCCTGTCCCCTCCCCTGCTCATTTTCTTGCTGTCTCTCTCAAAATGAATACATAAAAAAATCTTTAAAAAGATTTAACGGTTTAACCATCTGCCCTTGGCTCAGGTCATGACTCCAGGATCCTGGAATTGATACCCTCATTAGACTCACTGCTCATTAGGGAGTCTGCTTCTACCTCTGCCTCTCCCCCATGCTCATTCTCTCTGTCGCAAAAATAAATAAAATCTTAAAGAACGAAAAAAACATCAAGATGAAAAATAGGGCCTATCCTAAATGCCTTCCCTTTTGGCTTCTTCCTCTGCCTCAGTTTTGTCCCTCCCAGCCATTCAGGAAGGAGTGAGGCACATACAGAACTCAGGGTCTATTTATTAGGAAGGAGATGTCAGTGCTTTATCAAAGATGAAGAGGTCAGAGAGGGATGGTGGGATAAAGGCCTCTCAGCTGGGACATTTCTTGGCCACAATGAGGACAGCAGAAGGCACAAGTCCTGAAGATTGAAGAAGACAGCTTTGACCACAAAGATCCTTGCCTTTTGCCCCCCAAATTTCTGGCCTCACACCATCTCCTCCAAGTCCCTTCTGGCATTCCTTCCTTTCTCGGGCATCCCCTCCCCTCCCCCAACCCCTGTTCCTGGTCCCAGGTGTCATACCCAGCTCCTGCAGAGGCCGTTCCATGTCCGCCTCGGAGAAGGCCCGCCGGGGGAAGCCACTGAGCAACTGCACAGGGTCCTGGCCTCCCCCAGGTTCTTCCCCGCGGTGGAGCTCCACGTAGAGCCTCACAGCTGCCAGCTGTTCCCGTGCCCGGAACGTCTGGGTCAGTGAGGTCCCATCTGGCAGCCTGACCTGGAGGGCAAGCGAGAAATAGTGCTGTGAGCATCAAAACTGAGTGTGGTGCCCAAATAAGGAAAACAAGAACTGCATCGAGAGACTGAACCGGCATAATTACTCTCTGAAGCAGCCGATGAACCACCACTTCTCTGCTTCCCTAAGGCTGTAAGACTGCAGCTTTCTCACAGTTTAACAAACACAAAGATAAGCTCATACAAAAATATGTAAATAGCCCACCATGCAAATAGCTGTGCAATAAACTAAGTGAAAACATGAACAACTAAAAAGGTAACTGCTGAGTAAGACAGAGATAGGGATTTAAATTAAGACTGGGTCAAGAGAAGTTTGAAATCTTTCCAAAAGTAGAAGAGATAGGATTTCAAAAGTCATTTACAAAGAAGGAAAAGGTTTGGCAAAGAGAACCTAACTGAATAAAGCTCTGAGTCAGGTGTCTTACAGGCCAATGAAGGGGGTCCCAGAAGCAAGACAGGAATCAGAATCAGTACCTGTATGCGACACTGGTCATATTCCCGCTTGGTGGGAGGCTCCTGGCTGGGAGAGGAGGGAACAGGACCTGGCTCTGTTGGTGGAGAAGGCCGAGAACCCACACTCCCACCATACTGGAAGACAAAGGAAAACACTGGTCAGGCTTTCACCCACCAGTAAGAGGAACATCGTATGCCTATCCTTTCCCTCTGAAGCTACGAAAGGGAATTTTTTTTACTAGCCCACCTACTTCTTTACCCCAGTGTCTTCCCAATCACCTACCTTCTTGGCTCTCTCTGCTTTGTCTCTCTCAATCTTTTCCCGGACTCTCTGTCTGGAAAACAGACAGGAAGAAAGTAGCCAGATGTTGACAAAGCAAACCTAGCTTCCCGTCTCATCTATTATCCAACATCCACATCACCCAGACCTGGCTGCTAACTCTTCAGCCTTTTCCCTCCTCCGCTCCTCAGCAGCCCGGCGCATCTCATCTTCCTGAAGCCGCTGTCGAGCAGCTGACAACTCTTGCCCTTGTTTCCTGCGCTGCCGTTCCCGCTCCAAAGCCTCTCGCTCCTCTCTTTCTTCCCTCTCCCGCTGCTTCTGGGCCACCAGCTCCAACATCCTATGTTGCAGAAAAGAAAGAGCTCAAAAGAGGTGGACACAGATCGAGGTGAATTTATAACGGATTCAATACGAAATACGGTAACACGTGTCCAAAGAGAGATGAAAGAAACCGCCAAGACAGGAGAGACGAAGAGTGTTAAGTTCCAGGTTCTTTCATCAGAGTTGTGTATTGTGGACAGGTGGAAGGTGACCCTCAGAAACGTGACACTGTTCCTCACTATACCTCTTAGTCTGTTCCTGTCTCTCTTCTTCACTCAAAACGGGTTTGCCTTCTCCAGCAGCAGAGCCGGTTCCTACAAACAAGCAATCAGCGTTACTGCCCGTTCATCCTCCTCAAGCCCTCGCGAATAACCAACACGGTGTTCCTCAGTCAGGACCTTCAGGGCCACCTTGCTCCGGGGAGGTAGGTTCCCTTCCCAGGACATGTCCAAGGGGGGTCGCTAGCGGCTCGTCTACATCGGGGTCGTCTTCGTGCTCCATCAACCTGGCGGGGAAAGTCGGGGAGGAGGTTAACACGGACGCTCGCCCTCCCAGAAGTCCCCCAGGCCCCTGCTACCCCATCGGAGCGCTCACCAGTCCATTGCAGCCTCGATGCCCTGGTTCCCTGTGAGGGCCAGAGCCTTCTCCCTGGGGGCAGAAACACCGTGAATAGCGCCCGCGAGCCATGGTGCTGGTCAGGCTGGGGCGTGCAGCCTGAGGCCAGGCTAGGGGAAAGGCCAGACAGGTCCGCGATCCCCGCGGGCCAGGGTTTGGGGGGCTGCCTTACGCGCGTCCCCTGGGGAAGCCCATCTCGATGAGACTCTCCAGAGCCGTCAGCTCCGCCATGGCGCCGCCACCGCCGCTTCCGCGGGGATCTGGGGGAGGGCGAGAAGGAGGGCGCAGGGCGGGGGCGTCAGCGCGGGGTGCCCCCGGCCCGCGCGCGGTCCCGCCCCCGACGCCCCAGCTGGGCGCTCTCTCACCCGGCTCTGGACCCTCAGCGGACACCGCCGAGAAGAAAGCCGAGGGAAACGGAAGTGCCCGGATCTGTTTGGGTCACGTGGAGGCGGGCGTGGACGGGTGCCGCCGAGAGCCAGAAAGCACCGGCCGGGCCCAGCCGCCAGGACCCGGCGCGGGCGGGGTGGGCGGTGCGTCCGACTCGCGGATCCAGAGGCGCACGGCCCGCCCCCCGCCCCGCCCCGCCAACTCTTCCCGCCCCGCAGCCAAGCTGGCACGCCCGGCGGCGGTGGGGAAGAAAGGTGGGGGGTGCGGCCCTGAAACCCGTGGGCGGAATGTAACAAGCCGTCGACCAGTTGGAATGCTACTTGGCAATGTTGATGAGGAGCCATAGAAATAAATGTACACGGTCTTTGACCAGCTCATCCTCTCCGGGGAACTGAGCCATCCTCCGCCCCACTGACAAAGGCATCTTTGCAGAACACAATTATCTGATCTTGTCATCACCTCCCTGCTTAAAAATTCCCCATGACACCTCAGTCACTTAGGATGAAATTTAAGTGCTAGTGGGCTGGTTTCCTCCGTTTTATTTGTTTGATTGTTTGTTTAGAGCCCTCTCTGGAAAAGTGAGAATAAGTAAGCACTGCCTTCGGTGCCTGGCAAGACTGTACCATGAAGGGGCGCCTGGGCGGCTCAGTGGTTAAATCCTCTGCCTTCTGCTCAGGTCGTGATCCCAGGATCCTGGGATTGAGCCCCGCATCGGGCTCTCTGCTTAGCGGGGAGCCTCCTTCCTCCTCTCTCTCTGCCTGCCTCTCTGCCTACTTGTGATCTCTGTCAAATAAATAAGATCTTAAAAAAAAAAGACTGTACCATGGAAACTTGGGCTAGTGCGCCATTTCATCTCCCACCATTTGCTGCTAACTTGTGCATATTGCAAAACAGACCCTCCTGCTCTTCCAGGCCCTTTGCACCTAACAGCCCTTTGCCTGGGATGTCCCGCCTCTTCTGTGGGACTGCTTAACTCCCAGTCATTTGGAAGACGGGATCCAAGGTTTGCTTTCTAAGGGAATTCTGCTTTGAGCACCCCCTTTCCACCTCCCAACTCCACTAGAGATTTATGTGACTAAGGCCTATTCAATCATCACAACAATCTATACGATTATGCTATTATTAGTCACAGGAAACACAGAAAAAGGAGACAAGGTCACAAAGCTGGTAAGTAGCCAAGCTAGGATCCACAACCATGCGGTATGCAGTCACTAAACTACTATGCTGGGTTGCCTTTCCATCGTGGAGTGAATAGCACCTGCTTTGGAGTTGGGCATCCTAACTCAACTCCTTACCTGTAGCTTCAAACCATTTAGAACTTCAAATTTCTCATCTCCTCCCAGGTGATCCTATCTTTTGAAAGACTGTGAAGAGTTAATGAGAATACACAGAGCATGTCTTGAATAATGAGAGATGGGGCCCCTCGTTTGTAAACGAATAAATGCTGAGGAAATGCAGGAAGCAAATAAAACAGGGACACAGTATTCACTACAGTATGGCAAGCGTATTAGAGAGAATACATATATTCTTTTTTTTAAAGATTTTATTTGTGAGAGAGAGAGATCACAAGTAGGCAGAGAGGCAGGCAGAGAGAGAGAGAGGGAAGCAGGCTCCCTGCTGAGCAGAGAGCCCAACGCTGGGCTCCATCCCAGGACCCTGAGATCATGACCTGAGCCGAAGGCAGAGGCTTAACCCATTGAGCCAACCAGGCACCCCGAGAACACATATATTCTAAATGTATCCTGAGGTCCAATGATTAAAAATTTAAAAAATCCTTAATGGTATAGTACCACGTCTTTTTTTTTTTTAAGATTTTTTTTTTAATTTTTTTATTTTTGAGAGAGACAAAACATGAGCAGGGGAGTAGGGCAGAGAGGGAGAGGCAAGCTCCCTGCTGAGCAAGGAGCCTCATGTGGGGCTCAACCCCAGGACCCTGAGATCATGACCTGAGCCGAAGGCTGAGGCTTTAACCCACTGAGCCACTCAGGCGCCCCTATTTTTTATTTTTTAAAGGTTTTATTTATTTCCTGGGATGGGGGAGAGACAGAGGGAGAAAGAATCTCAGGCAGGCTCCATGCCCAGCTCAGAGCCTGGCATGGGGCTTGATCTCACAGCCCTGAGATCATGACCTGAGCGGGAAACCAAGAGTCAGACACTCAACTGACTGAGTCACCCAGGCACCCCTACATCCAGTTAATTTAATTTTATTTTTTTAAATATTTTATTTATTTATTTGACAGACAGAGATCACAAGTAGACAGAGAGGCAGGCAGAGAGAGAAGAGGAAGCAGGTTCCCTGCTGAGCAGAGAGCCCGATGTGGGGCTGGATCCCAGGACCCTGAGATCATGACCTGAGCCGAAGGCAAGGGCTTTAACCCACTGAGCCACCCAGGCGCCCCATCCAGTTAATTTTAAAGATAAATTTGAAAGTATACGCTACGCTGAGACATAGGTATGCGGACAGGGAAATGAAAAGGGTCAGAAAAAATGAAAATGTCTTCCTTTTATATTTCCTTTAATGTTGGTACAGTGGATATACAACAGACACAGATTGAGGGAAAGTGGGGGAAATCCTTGGATTTCCTGGGAAATGCCCAGACAGCATGGTTCTCCACCCCATGTCAGTCATTCATTTCCACCCACTTCAGACGCAGGTGGACCCTGACTCAGGGGTGCCCACCTTCAATATCCAAATGAAAGGTAAAAGGGGGAGTAGTCTTGCCCCAAACTCCCAAATTGTTCTCAAAAGCCCACCAAAGCCACCAATGTGACAGGGCACTTTTGAGAGTATATGATGGGGATTGGGATCAGCTCACTGCAGCCAACAGGCATAACACAGCTGGGGCCTGATCCGAAAAGGAAAGGCCCATGAGCTAAGAATGGTTTTTACGTTTTTACGCAGTTCCATGGCCATACAAGTACCTACGTTTTATCTTTGATTTTAATCGTCTGGAACTGCAAAGCCTACATTATTTACCATCTGGTCCTTTAAGGAAAAGTTTTCCACCCCCCTCTGCTCCTTTCTGAACCTGAGGCTGGAGCAGGAAGGAAAGTCTGGGACCTGAACAAGTTCTGGGGCTGAGCACTGAGACTCAGATAGGGCCTCAGGCTCCTGGCCTTCTACTCCCCACGCATCTCCCCCAAACAGGCCCCCCGCCCAGGGCTGCTCAGGGCAGCAGCAGCAGCCGCCTCCTCCCAGGGAACCCAGGCTAAGCTCTCCTCTCCAAGCCTGGGTTCAGCTGGGCCCCAAAGAGGCCCCCTAGGCTGCTTCAGAGCCCTACTGCGGGCTGGGAGGCCGGCCGGTGGGGGCAGCCCCAGCGCTCACGCAAGCAGAAATGCCACACCAGAGCTAAGCAGGTCAGCAGGGCCAGCACCGTGCCCACCCCGATGGCTGTGTGCACCAGGGTAACGGGTCTGGGGGGCACGGCCAGCCTGCCGCAGGGCCCGAAAGTCGGGCCACCCACCCCCTCGAGGCCCTCCCCACCTGCCCCAGGCACACTGCTTTCTCCAGCCCCGTTGGCAGCCACCACGCAAACGACATAATCTCCCCCGGGCTTCAGTCCTTTCAGTTCTGCTCTGCGGACCGTGGAGTTGAGCGGGGGCCCCTTCCAGGTGGCCCCACTGTCTTCCCAAAGCAGCAACCAGTACTGGTGGACCGGTGAGGAGGGAGCACACCAGTGCACCACTGCGCTCCCGTCCTCGGCCACCACGTGCACTTCTCCCAGGCGCGGCGGGGCAGGCGGCTGGGCAGGGCTGGAGAGCCCAGGGCACATGCAGGCTCTGGGCCCGGCCCTCTGCAGCTCCTTACATGGCACCTGCAGGTGCCGGCAGCTGTCATAGTCACAGAAGACAGGCGGCAGGGGTGGCTGGGACGTCTCATCTTCCTCCTCTTCCATAAGATCTTGAGGGGCCAAGGGCCGTGTTCTGGGAACTAAGGAGAAGGTGACAGCCAGGAGACACAGAAGGCAGGGAGAGCCCGGCATGGAGTCTGGAAGGGAGGGAGGTGGAAAGGTAAAGACTGTCCAGACCCCACGCCTCCTAGGGCCCCCTCCCTCAACGAAACCTCTGGGGACAGGGACACACAGCGGGGGCCAAGGAGAGAACAGGAAAGAGGAGGGAAGGGGGCAGACACACTTATTTGTCAACCCACTTCTGAACCGGCTGTGGACTTGGTTTTGGGGGGATGGGGGCAAACATGGGCTGCCCGCGAGATGGGGGTGTGGCCCGCAATGGGTGAAGGCCCAGAAATGGTTAATGAATAAGCAAAGTTCTGGAGGGGAAAAGAAGAGGAAATGATTTACTCAGCCTGGAGAAGAAAGGTGGAAAAATTCCCAGCAGCCACCCAAAGAAAAGATCTCGGTAAAATAATTATCAGTCAGCGACACACACAAAAACCCGAAAGTGACAGAAATGAGACGGAAGAGATGGTATAGAGGGGGAACCTTAAGGACCTCGGCATCCTCCCCACCTGTTGAAAGAGCTCCATTCCCTGCCCACCCCCACCTCCCCCCACCCCTGGGCCCCAGCAGCCCCTCACCAGCCGGTAGGTCTCACCGTGGTGCAAATCTCCCACCAGTGGTCTGTGGGCGTGAGGCTAGGGCGACCCCGGGAGCACAGACTTGCGGGCAGGTTTGTCAGTGAACTCAATTTCAATTCTGTTTTGGCTCGAAGCTTTTATACTCTTCCACTGTGATGTCACCACCTAGCCCCCCCCTCCACCAGGCCCCCCCACCCCCCTTTCCCGGTGAATGCCAAGAAGCTGGCGGTCCCTTCAGAGAGCCTGAGTCACGGGGCCAGGGATTGGGGTGGGGTGGGGAGACGGGAGTCACAGCAGCTGTTTCATCTGGAGGCCAGGATGCCTGGGTTCGGAGATGAGAGTGGAATGTGGAAGGCAGCCAGGAGCCGAGAATCACAAGGCTCAAGCTATGTGGAGGGATGAGGAGGGGCGCAGAGGAGAGAGGGCCACCTGTCTGGTATCAGAGAAGAAAACAGCTGTGACAGCATGGGGCCTGGGCTACAAAATGCTGTTTTGGTAAAAATCATACCACATCCATGGCAGTCATTTCCTGTCTTCTGCCTCCCAATGGACAGAGAAAGGGAGGGGTGCAGAGGCCGGAATGATGCGGCCTAGCTCTCCGGACCCGCCCTGCAATGATCCCCCTCTCCAGAGTCACGTGGATGGAGTAGGCCAGATGGGTTTTCTCTCCTTGGACTTTCTAGGCCTATGAATGCAGACAGCTGTACCTAGAGCAGTCCAGGTCTGGAGGCCTTCCCCCTCGGCAGGCAGCCCCCCAACAAGACAGTCTCCTCCAATGCAGGAAGGCGGGGAGGATGCCCGGGGAACATGGGGTTCTCAAGTAGCCCTGAATCCATTTCAAGGAGTCAGGCAAGCAACTGGCATGAAAATAGTTTATTGGGGGAGCCACAGGATAGGGGAAGGGGTCAGAGGAGAAAGGACTGGAATGTGAGGACTCTGCCCTGTTCTCTTCAGGAACTAGAGCAGGTGGGGCGCTGTCGGAGATTGTCCCCAGAGGGTTCAGAGCTGCCCAGAGTCTCCAGGGCAGGGGTGGGGGAGGGGACCAGGGCGGGAGCAGAAGCAGGCAGGTTGGCCTCCGTCAGCAAAGCTGCGTCTTCCCAGGAGCCTAAGCCAGAGGAGGGAGAAACAAAATCCGCAATGGGAAATTAAGTAACCGAAGGCTCTTCTCCCTCAACCAATATAACCTCCTCCCCACCCACCAGCCACCTCCACTCCGCCCAGACCTCCGTGCCCCGGGCCCCTCACCATCACTGGCCTCTGGCTCCAGCTCCTCCTCTCCATTCAAGGGCTGCTGATCTGCTTTCTCCTCCTCAGGGAGCTGGCCCTCTGCAGCCACAGGGGGAAGGCAGAGGTCAGACTAGAAGAGGCTGACCAGGACAACTGAGGACTTGTGGGGACTGAGAGAGGGAGGGAGGAAGGAGGGGGAGGGAGGGAGGGAGGAGGGCAAGCTGCGGACAGTACCTGCCCCTGGGGGATCTTCAGGGCTCTCGCTGTCCTCTGTGATGTCTGACAGCTGGGTCGACTCCTCCTGGCCTTGGGGTCCTGTGCCTCCAAAGTGGGTAGAGGACGGGGGTAGGGCTAACACAGCTGCCTGGGCCAAGCTCACCTCCTCCAACCTGTCCTCCGCCCCTCAGCTCAGCTGTGAGGACCTAAAGCTTGGGCCACACAGGAGCCCCCGCCTACCATCACGTTTACCTGCATGCCGGGCAGAGATCCGTTGCTGCACTGCCTTCTGGGAACCGTCTCGTTTCCGGACGTTCACCTGAGCGGGACAAACTAGTGAGCAGCAAGGCTGGGCCTCCCTGACTGTGATCTGGGCACCCCCCCCTCCGCTCCCCAGCCCTTGGCCACGCCCCAGCCCTCTCCTCAGAGGAGGATCATGGAGTGGAGGGGAGGGGAGGGGAAGGAGGTCCTCTGTGACCTGCAAAGAGAAGCGGTGTCGGGGCCAGATGCTCCCCCACACCCACTGCATGTAGCTGAAGAGCACAATGACGCTGAGGAAGGTGAAGTTGCTGGCGACGCCGATGAAGGCGCAGGTCATCGGGAAGTTGTACAGCAGGTACCTGAGGCCAGAGGTGGGTGGCAGTTAGCGGACAGCACCAGCCTCCTCACTTCCCAGGAATTGGTTCTAGGAAAACGCAAGCCAGTTGCACTTGAGGACAGCCCCCCTCGCGCCGGCGTTGGCACGCCCTCACCTGAGCCCGGTGAAGTGGGCATGGATGCGGAGCGAGGCCCCGTACATCTGGATGCGCTTGCTGTGGATCTCAATGATCGCTCCGGTGGTCGGCACGTACTGGGGATGGGACAGGGGAGGGGTGTCAGGCCACGATCCCGTGGCTGTCACTCTTCCCAGCCCAACCCGATGCCCCCTCCCGGCATCTTCGTGGCTGATGGAGCCCAGAGGCTCGGCAGGTGGGACTGTGGGCTCCTGAGGAGAGCGGTCCCTAGTCTTCCCTCACCCCTCACCGAGTTCTCCCTGTACTCCGGGTACAGTTCCACCTCCAGGAGCTGCTTCTGCTCCGCAAAGCCAAACAGCAGGAGGCTGGAGAAGACCAGCGTGTCAAGCATCTGGAGCAGGTCTGAGCGGTAATGCAGCATCACCTGCTGGGGCCAGAAGGGAGAGGCTGGGGACAGGTACCCCCCAATTTCCACAGCCCAACCCACCCCCCAAAACCAAGCCTCCTGAGCAGTCTGTGAAGCCGGCTGCTCTCTCATTTTCACCTCCTACCACGATCCCCCACCCTTGGCCGAACCATCCCAGCTGCCCCAGTGACAGGTCTGCCCCGCCTGACCATGTCTCCATTCCCCTCTTCTAAGAACCTGCACAGGTTAAGCCCCACACAGTCTCTGATCTTCCCCCAGGCAGATCTACCACCCAGAATAGACTAAGTTTCAGGGCGCCACCTGAAGCTTTTCTCCATGAAGACATTCAGAGATTTGTTTCATCATGTGGCTCTGCTGACGATTTACGTAAGAATGGGGTCTTAATATTTACTGAAGACCCACTATGGGCACATAAGCACTGCACATGTCTTCATCGAATCCAGTCTAGTCTTGCTACGGGACTATTACTAACATGCCGGGTTAGTAGTGCTTTGTAACCAACGGGTTAAAGAAGCTGTCTCTTGGCTAGTATGTTTCTGAGTGAGGATTCCAGGTCTTTGGGGCCCTAAGGAAGCCCATTTTGGCTCCCCTCTTCCTACCTTTCTGAAAGCTGGACACACTCATCAGATATGTGGGGCGTCTGTCTGGCTTGGTAGACTGATTCCTCTTCCCCATTGTGAGGAGTCTGTGACCTCTGAGCTGGGACGTTTTCTCCTAAAGCCCTACCCAGATGTTCTGACCCCTGCTGTCAGCTCCGCACCCTCCCAGACAGGCCAGGAACACTTACGGAGCGCGAAGAAGTGGAGATGATCCGGCCGCCTCTGGTGTAACATGAAATGGTCACTAAGAACATGCCCAGATCTTGATTCACACGGGACTCTGGCAGCTCAAGCTCTAAGGTAACACGGTACGGCTGTCCATACATCAGCACCTGCCCAAGGCAGCCCCCATCTCTTTTCAGAACATTTATTTGTTTAGATGGTGCTCTGTTCCACCTCCCCTCACCCCTTCAAACTTGGCCACCACCAGCCCCCCTGCCCTTGCCTAGCGCAGCAGGCCGCTCAGTCTCTCATCCCAGGAAGGTGCTGCCCCCTTATGGCGGCCGGGACCCTCCCACTCCTGAGATCAGCATCCTGTGACTTGGCTGAAACCAGCTCTGTTCTGAGAAAGGCTGTGTCACATTTCTTTCTTTTTTTTTTCCCAAAAGTGAACTGTCCTGTTGCCAACTGGGCCATGTGTGACTCAGCCCTCTGTCCCCGTGAGGCCATCCCCCTGGGCCCAGCCAGCTTTCCCTTCCAGTATTAATTAACCGAGTGACAGCAGTGTGCACCAACTCCCAAGCCATCCCTTCTCGGTCACTGTCGCTCCACATCAGCTTTATGTCACTCTGCGTCCCCTACCTTGCTTCTGTGGATAGAACCCTGAGATGCCTAGTGGGAAGGTTTCTTCACTGGGATTAACATCCAAAGGTTCAAGATTTGCCACCGAACATACCCGGGTTTTTCCTGACTGTTCCTCTATTCTTCTAATTCTTTGTTCAACTATTCTTTTCCAAGCATCACCTCCTTCAGGATGGTACACAAGAATCACAGGGGCAAGAGTAAAGCTTTTGTTTTTAAACAAAGGTAACGGATTTAAAAGAAAAAAGGAAAAGCCCATCGTGAACCACCCCCCAATCCAGACGTGGCTGAGGGTGCTTTGAGCACTACCACTAGGGTAAAAGGTGGAAAATCACTGATTAGAGTCTTTCTTTGTACGGGTTCTTATTTCCAGAATGAATTATCTCTTGAAAAAAATGGATTCCATGAGACTCTAGGCCCTGGAAGAGGCCAGAGGAAGCTGGTGGCCTCACCGAATTCTTGGAAACATTTTTTAGGGTGGGGGAGCGCCACAGGGAGAGGAGAAGAGATGAAGCAGGTTCCACACCATGCATGGAGGCCAACGTGGGGCTCCATCTCTCACAACCCTTCTCAGGGTCATGACCTGGGCTGAAATTGAGAGTCGGATGCTTAACTGACTCAGTCACCCAGGTGTCCCTGGAACATTTTCACAGGTAGCTCTCTGGGTGAAGTGGAGGAAAATGGGGACGGACTATTAGCTAATCGGTAGGAGTTTCCGACTGAACTATACATCTTATACGGGTGAATTGTAGGATATGTGAGTTTTCTCTCAACAAAGCTATTTTAACATAGGTTTTTGAACTAGTAATTCTGGCTAAAAAACATCATTGCCTCCAATGGGACCCACCAAATTGACCACCAGATTCTTGTGAATGACTCCGTGCCTTTGTGCACATCGGATGGGCAGACTGTCCTTCTGTTCCCCCATTCCGACACAATGTCCACCTTTCCTTCTAAGATCCACTTTGAGCCTTGCCATCACCAGTTTCATACTGATCCCTCAAATTCTTCTGAAATGCGGAAGCTGTACTTTCCACTTGGCTACCTAATGCGATGTATCGATTTCTCCATCAATCCTG